CAGGAAAACGGCTTCATAGACAGCCTGGTAGGGACCGGGTATAGTTGATCTGCAAAAGAGCCTCTAAGCATATTTTCCGCATGATGGGAGGAGTCTTTAAGGGCACCAGTCGACAATGGATCGGATAGCAGCGGTCAAGAAGCGGCGGTGGCACTGGCACAATGCCAATGCATCATGAACAACCGTTGGTGAGTGTTATGCAATTAGGTCTCACAAATTGACACCTGTCCCATGGCTTAGTTGGTTACGGCGTCCGACTGTTATACTCTCCAATCGGAAGATCGAGAGTTCAAGTCTCTCTGGGACAGTTATTTTTTGATCTCATCTCTAAAATGCAGCATTCTCTGTAAACGCAACGGTGTGGCCAGCCGCCACTGTGGCGTAGACTCTTGTGTAGCAGTTCGCTTACTGACATACTGATTAATCACATATGTGCAGGGACGATTCAAGTCAACCCATGATACATTGAAAATCTGTCAGTACTCAGACTCATTTCAGAAAAATACTACCGTTCATGACATGGGCCAATTGAAGAATTCAGAATTTTTCTGCGGATTGTTTCCCTCGCGCATCTCCCAATTCCAACTACCTGTCCAACCTGCAAGTCCATCAACTCAGACCAAGGATGTACGGAGTGGCGCCAGAGTGGCATTGCTATGTAGCTGGTCTAGTATACCTCCTGCCGCCGCTCGATCATCTAAACCCCAAGTTGTATATCCAGCATTACTTCCAGCCCTTCCTCCTCTCGATGCTCTTGCCAGCAGTTTCCGACGCCAACAAAGATGCAATGAAACCGACGGCGTAGGAGGAATAGTTTACAAGCAAGACACAGAACTCGAGAATAAATAGACAGATACGCAATAAAAACGAATCAACTGCTGGGAAGTCCTAAATTCTATGATAGGCCAGAAAAAAACACGGTAGATACTCAGAGCAAACGATAGCACGCAAGGCAGCGGAACATAAATCCTACATCCTCAAAGCTCGTTCCGCAAGATAATGCTAAAGCACCGCTCGCAATACGGCTCATCCCCTCTCTCAAAGAACGAAGGGTCATCGAACGGGCGTTCACATCCCTGCGCACCACAAATTTCAGCACCAGACCCGGACACCATCAGACCGAAAACAACCACGCACCTTGCACACAAAACACGCCCAACACCACTTTCCCCCAAGCGCCTCAATCGCCTGGTCACCATCGCGGATACTGCGTTTACACCGCTTACACTTCGGTAGCCGCAGCCGCACGTGGCAGGCCTCGCAGTACGGGTGCCCGCGGTACACCGTGAAGCCCACATCGTCTGATGCGTACTCGCCGTCTCCAGTGACGCTTAGCTCACCTGCATCGTAGGAGGATAAGCGTCGGGTTTGGCAGGCAGAGGAAAGGGAGAACGACGTACCAGTTCGTGTAGAGGGCTCGCCAACTGAAGGTGTAAGAAAGGGATCACCGCACTCGGCACAGAAGAAGTGCTGCTCGTGGTACGTGCGCTTGCCTAGCGCTGGGTCATCTAAGCTTATAAACCGTTCCTCGATAATTGCCGTCTTGCAAGTGTAACACTTGGGAGCGAAGTTCTGCAGCAACATGTCAGTTTGGGTATACGCGGTTTATCGAAGACGGGTAAAGAATCTCGCTATCATGACGGGTCGATTTCAAAATCCAGCCCGGGCCAAGACAGAGAACGGGAGCAGACGAAAAGGACACAACTCACCTCATGATAATCCAAGTGACAATACGCCCTCCCCTCCCACTCATACGAACTCACATGCTCCAACAACTCATCGCACACCGCACACCGGAAACACCCCGGATGCCACCTCTGCCCCATGGCATTCACAATGCGCCCCACAATCCCATTCCCGCACCCGCCACACGTCAGCCCCCCGCGCCTCACCGGCGGAGCCATCTGCCCCACCTGTGAACGCTGATGCGGGCCCTGATGTGGTCCAGATACATTAATCTCAGGCCCGCCCATAGGACCTGACACACTGATCCCCGGCACCTCATACACATTAACCTTCGGCGGCCCCCTCCCACCCCCGCCTCTAGCCCCATCGTGCTCCCCTATGCTGATTTCCGGCACACCCTCGACATTATTCTGAGGCACACCCTGCACATTGATCTGCGGCCCGCCTCCACCCCTACCCCGCCCGAACCGATCCTCATCCTCGTCCAACTCGATATTAATCAACGGCACAGGTATAGGCGAATGCACCGGGGACGAAACAGACACCACCACGCCCTCACTCTCCATCTTCCCGATGTCCGCGCGCTTATCCCGCCCGCCGACGGGTGCGGGGGACTCGATGATGTTGATCTGCGGCATAGGGGGCGGGGTGGATTGGTGCTGCTGAGGTTGATATGGGGTTTGGTTGAATCGCGCTTGTGGCTGCTGGGGCTGCTGCTGCTGCTGTTGGCGGTGCTCGAACTCCTGCTGCTGCCTTAGTAGTTGTTGCGGCTGCTGGAACCCCTGTCGCTGCTCTTGTACCTTCGGCAGCTCCCTGCCGTGCCCGAAAGACCGTGCACGCGACAACCCTTGCGCCTGCGCCTGGAACGCGCTTCCACTCCCACTTCCCCCAGACTCATCCCGCAAAGGTGTGCGGTAGATCTGCGACTGCGGCCTCGTCACTGGGACTTGCTCACGCATCGAAGTCGAAGTAGGCGCATATATCTGCGACTGCGGCCTTCCTCGCTGCTGCTGCTGCTGTGGCGGTTGTGGTGGGCCCTGTGGTCGCCCACCAGGCGTCGGCAGTGCCCTCCTCCCTTGCCCTTGCCCTTGCTCTTGCCCTTGCCCTGATCCTTCCTCTGCACCTCGCCCCCTCTGCATCACGAACGCCGACCTCGGAGGTGGCGTATCGTCTAGATCCAGCTCATATCCACGCCCATTACCCCCGCCCCCACCTCCCCCTATCTGGGGAGGTCGCGGGAGCCCTCCCGTTTGCCAGTTCTCCCGTGCAGCCGATCCAGATCCAGATCCGGATCCAGACGCCACACCGCTACCACCAGCCGCAAGGCGCATCGTCATGCTCAGCCCGCCCTCCCCTCCGCCGCGCGTCTCCCACCCACCCGTACTGGATGAATTTGAATCATACCCCACCTGGCCCTCACGCACCATGGGTGGTGGGCGTGGCAGCGCTCCCGGATTGGGGAATGCACGCGCAGGGAGATCACGGATGCCGTATTGCGGGCTCGGAGGCTCGCGTTCTACTCCTACACCCGCGCCGGACCCTGCTTCGGAGTCGGACTCGTCAGAGTATTCATAGCTGTTCTCTGTCTGCTCCTCGTCATCCTCTTCCTCTTCTTCCTCGTCGTCATCTTCCTCGTCACTGTCCGGGTGCTGCCTGTGATGGTTGGACCGGTACGTCCATAAACCTTGGGGCTGAGATGTAGTGGCGGGAGGGCCATAGATCGGCGGTTTGTTGACCTTTGGCTTGGAGTGAGAGGGGACAGGAGGGGGAGGGGGCATAACGCTTCGGTGGGGAGGTGCAGGGTGGTTCTGTTGCTGTTGTTGTTGACGTTGGTGATGCTGTTGCGGTGGTTGTGGTTGTTGGCGCTGCCCCTGTTGCGGAGGAGGTGGCTGTGAAGGTTGTTGGTGTTGCATTTGTTGTGGAGGTCGCTGACGCTGCGTCGTCTGTGGAGGAGGTTGTGGAGGCTGCGGCTGCCTCTGCGGCTGTTGCTTCTGCTGGAGGTGAGCCTGCTGTTGCGTGGGATTCGGCGGAGGAGTAGGCAGGAGCGGTGGAAGAACGTCGGGAAGGGTGCGTTTCCACACTGGAACGAACTTTTGTCCCGGTGCTTTGGAGGGTTGTGCAGTACTAGGCATAGTACCAGCTAATTCGGATTTCAGTTTGGATAACGAAGGAGATGGGGCAAAGGTGATACTGCTCGTGCCTTTACCCTTGCCTGGTGATGTCACCGTGGAATTCGAATTGGAACTATTAGTGCTAGTGCTGATAGTGCGAGCAGGGGGTCCAGGAGAGCCAGAGAACGAGTCCGGAGAGAGTGATGAGACGGAGGAGGGAGGAGAGGGGGAGGAGTTTCCAGACGCGAGGTTGGATGAGAGCGCGACGACGGAGAACTTGGGTGGACTGGCACGACCACGTTTGGGTGGCTCAGTGGGCATATTATTCGCCTTCACAGGGCTCGGTGTTCGGACCCACGGTGCTGGTACACCGGTGGATGGCTCGGGACGCGCTTTCACAGTCGGATTTATAGTTGCATTGGAATTGGAGGATGGACCAGGCGTAGGTGCAGGCAGTGGTCTTGATCGGGTGGGAGGGGTTGACCCAGGCCGGGATTGAGGTAGCGATTCAGATCGTTTCCCGGGCAGGGGAAGTGGTCGACGCTGAGCCTGCGCTGGTGCAACAGGTGGCGGTGCAGGTGTAGAAGCCATCCCCACCGGTGGAGTGACGTATTGGGGCTGCTGGGGGTTGGGCCATTGGCTGTATATCGACGCGCGCACCGACACAGGTGCAGGCGTGGGCGGTGGTTGAGTGTATGGGTATTGGGACGGCGGTGGTTGCACTTGCTGAGGTGGCGGTGGTCGTGCCTGATACTGCACAAGCTGCTGCTGGCCCGGATGGACTGTTGGTGGCCGTTGTTGTATCTGTAGCTGTCCAGGATGCACTGCCGGATGCTGAGCATGGTATGCTGGGTGCGCAGCCTGCTGAAAGCTCTGGAGACGCTGTTGTACCAATGATTGCGTAGGCTGTTGCCCTTGGGCATGCCCTAGAGCCAACTGCTGCTGTATGGGCTGTTGTTGCTGGTTCCCCTGAGGCTGCTGTGTGCCAAGCTGCTGGTAGATGTTCTGCGGTTGATAGTACTGCGGCTGCTGGTAGTGGTTGTGCGCCATGTCAGACGACGGCGGCACCCTGTTCACGGTTGTTCAAATCAAGATCTCGACGCGATCAGGCTATCGCATCACATGACTCGCCAAGATGGCACTTGGGGCAATTTGGGAACGTCGCTACGCCGCTACATACGTCTTCTAGCAACAGCGATCAAGTCTTTGCTAGTATATCGGTTAGTACACGCGCTTGTCATTCTATGATCACCAAAGGTGTGCGCGCGAAAGCTGGGTTCGACTCCCAGGCAGAGAGTTCTTTTTGGTCGCACATCTATCATGTCAAGGCAAATGCTGGCTGCCGCGACGGAAAATATTTCTTGGAATATCCGGTCCCCGGACGGCGGAGGGTAACGATTTCCGAAGTCCCTTAGATGCTGGGGAATCGAGGGCGAAAATGACATCCTACATAATATCTTCCATACCAGAATGCTATTTTTTGGCCGCAGGAACAATCTAACAATTATAAAAAGTTATGTCACAACTCCGTCCTCACCACGACGCCGGCAATCCCGCTGCCGGCGCCCCGATCTCTGTAAGCTGAGTAAGGGGGTCAAGGCTGCCCTTGAACTGCGGCAAGTACGACGCGTCCGTGTACGGGCAGTGCACTGATAGCGAGCCCTTGTATATCGGAGTGTACGTCGCGGCGCAGATCTCGAACGGTGTAAACTCGTCATAGGACACCTCCACGGCGTTACGCGGGTTGCGGTCGCCTGCTGCGATCCGTTGACGGGCCTGTAGTACAAAAGAGATTGTCAGAATATCTCAGAATAAATGAACAATGTTGTAGCACTCACCACTGCGACGATTTTCGGATCCGGCTTGAGTTCAAGGAGTCGCTTCGCAAATCGCGCTGCGTGCGCCTGGTTATTGGCCTTGGCGAAGACATTGGTGGCACTGCGCAGGGCAATCTGCATATGAGGTGGTTGCAGCTCGCATTGTGTAAAGTACGCGGCGAGCTCAAGGTTACGGCGGATGTTGTCGGGCTCAGCTTCTGCTACGCGTCGCCTCTCCAGCTCGATCGAGACACCAAGCAGGTATTCCCGTGCGGCCGTCACAGTATCTCGCCACTACGTAGTGAAAGAATTCATATCAGAATATAACAAGAACAAGCAAAAAGTTTGCACCCACCAGCTTGGCCTCCTCATCGGACGAGAGCACAACCAAAAGAAGGGCGGTGAGGACAGAGCGGAAGGTAGCTTGTGCCTCCGTCAGCCTGTTGCCAGAGACAGCGCGGTATCCTTCAGCAAGTTCCGAGCGCACGGACTGCAGTGAGCGGGCAGCGACAGGAAGAACGCGACTGGGTGCTGATTCGGTAGGGTTGCGCCGCACATGAAGGTGCAATGGCGGCAAGGAGGCGACTGGTGTCAGGTATGTATGCGAAGAACGGTACGTGGAGATGAAGGTGGGCTTGAGGAGGGCAAAGTTGACAATACCAAATTGACGGTTAAGAAGCTAGACCGTCGGAGAAAAATAATGTTTTAGTTATCATTCACCATTCACAATGCAGAGACCCTCACCTGCATAGCAGTCTCAAACGATCCAGCAGCAACATGATCGGCCGCCAACGGCGAATTTCGGACCCAGAGCTCCGTCTCACTGGTCCCAGGCGTCGCCCCAGCGCCCAACTCTTCCTCCTCATCAACAACTTCCTCAGCTGGCACCGAGTCCGCAAAGTCATCTCCCTCTGCTTCGAGCTCCCAACCACCCTCCTCAGGATTAATCTCCTCGTGGATCTCCTCATCCCTCGCCCATGCGTCCAGGGCCGACGTAGCTGCGCCCGCCGCCGCGTCACCATTGACATACGCAGGCTCGACGCCGCCCTCGAGGTTTCCATCTGCCAGGGCCCGATCGAAGAAGTTCTCGGCTGCGGGGAGAGAGGGCCAGTTCAGATTAGTCGTGGGAGTCACGATGGGTGGCGGCTTCAAGCTCGATGCGGCGAAGGTCGGGACGTCGTCGATGTCCGCTTCAGTCAGTCCAGCAGCTTCCAGGATCTCCTCAGCCACCTCATCCAAGCCGTTGGTTTTGGCCGTCAGATAGGCGAGAGGGTCTGAAGTGGGAGGATTAGACTGCGTTACAGGGCGTGGGTATGGGACAGGATGCTTACACAGTCCCACATCCCGCATGACGGATATTCTCCCCTGCACATCACCAGCATAGAGAGCGTTGTGGAACCGCGACATGGGATCTCCACGGGCATCGGCGATCTTCTGCATCTTCGACAACTTGTCTGTGCTTCCCGTTGCGAGGTATAAAAACGAAAGTTTGTCGAAATTCTTCGTCTGTTGATATGCTTTCTCGACAATCTGGATATGCATTCGTTAACATAGGCGACCAAGATAGAAATTCGTCGGTGTACTGACCTTGTGGTTGCCCTGCTTCAGCGCCTGCTGCGCCAGCCTCTCCCAGCACTCTGCACGATCAATTTCCTTTGCGGTCTCCATCGCCACATCCAAGTTCCCACATTCAATCGCGAGCTCAAATCGCGTGTTGGTATCTTGCACGAAATGCAATGCAATCTGTCGATAGGTAAGGCGAAGCAGTGAGGACGAGTCCAATCAATGTGATCAACAAGATCACTCGCCTCGGGGAATCCTTTCTGCTGTAGGTATGCGATGATGCTCTGGCCAAGAAGAGTCGAGGTCCGGATGATGTACAACATTTCCTCATAGTTGTTGCGGAGTAGTGCGAGCTTGAAACGGTACTCTGTCGGATCGAAGGTGATGGTACGGGGGCGGGCAGAACGGTCAAGGCAGTGAACAGTTTTGCCCTTCACGCGGGTGAGGTAGACAGGGTTGTCGAGGGTGCAGATCACGCCGTGGTCGCTGATGATGAGGGTAAGTGACATGAAGAACGATTTTAGAGCTGGTGTACCCTTGAGGAAGACAGTATTTGACGTGGTTGAGGGTGGAGTAGATGAATACACCTGAATCGTCCCATGCTCCAGACTTGATGCGGATCGTCTCATGAACAAGGCTGCTGGTCGAGAACGTCTTATTTGCGATTGTGATGGCTACATGGACAGGTGAGGTACAACCGATTTCGAAAGTAAGAATGTGAACATACTATGCTTGCTCATCAAAGCAACTAGGGCGCCATCGCCGCTCCAGATAACGTATTTAACAGGAGGGCTGTTGAGCTCTGCGATAGTCTTTTGCTGCTGAATGTCATAGAGGACGACCGAGGTAGTCGAGCTGAGAATTAAGCTGGCCGTCCCGCCATAGAAGATTTCGTTCGTCTGTACAGGGGGTTTGATCGTTTTGACCACGGAGTTGGCAAGGTCCCGGACTTCAATGATCTATCCCACGCAACCATCAACGTGAGCGCCTCACAATGTACAAATCGGAGCATACCTGAGTCGCCTTGTTCAGGACCGCGAATCTGTTCCTCGCGACGAAGATCGCACTCTGCCCATTGCCCTTCTTACCATCGACACTCGAGTCCTTCACATCCCCCTGCGCCTGCTGCGGTAGACTCGTCAACTCGTAAAGTCCATTGTCCGAGCTGATGGTCAAGATCACTGCCCGTTCAGCGGGGTTGAAGCTCAATGTCCGCGGGGGGACGTATGGGCTCCCGAATTTGCGCACGCTAAGCAGCCCGATATCCGCACCTGTGTTGAAGTCATATGACCGCACATATTTGTCGCGCACGTAGTAGAGTGTGTCTTGGTGGACGGAGAAAGCAGGGCGCTCGCGCTCGAGTTTAAACACGATGAGACCGGAGTCGTGACCCGCCGCGAAGAGATTGAGGTTCGGGTGCGCCGCGAGGATCCAGAAACGGTCGTGCTCGCGCCTGAATGTCTGAATCGCAGTACGCTTGGCAAGGTCCCAAACACGGACAGTCTTGTCTTCACCACAAGACACGATAAGCTCATGCTTAGGATGGAAGAGTGCATTGGAAACATTGTTGAAATGTCCGCGACATGAGTCAACCTCCCATGCCTTCGTCTCACTCATGCGCCAGATCTTGATGACGCGATCGTCGGCGGCAGAGATAATAAGGGGGAGGGTGGGGTGGAACATGGCATAGTTAACGCCGCGGTCATGGCCTTCGAGAACGTACTTGACGGTCGAAAATGAGTCGAAGGTTTCGAAGGTACCTGGGCCGCCGCTTCCGCCGCCTGCGTGACCACCGGGGCCACCGCCGGAGTTGGGTGAACCTTTGCGGAGGCCCGAGATGTCCCATACACGGACCGTTTGGTCCATCGACGCGGAGACGACAAGGTCCTCCTTGGGGTGGAACTGGGCGGACATGACGTAGTGTGAGTGGCCGGTGAGTACTGCGATGCAATTACGCGAGGTGCTGTTCCAGATGCGGATCGTTTGGTCGTCAGAGCAGGAAATCTGTGGGTAGAGGGTAGGACGTCAAGCAGATATCAGATTGATAGCAACTCACGATCCAGGGCATTTCATGGTGGAACTGCACGGTACGGACATAATCTAGATGGCCGTGGAGAGTGAAAAGGCAGCGTCTGTTTTGAGGTCGGATATCTGGTTTACTTGTTAGCTACAGGGTCCTGAAGGCATGCTGATTGGACTAACCCCAGACTTTGATTTTGTAGTCATCCCCTCCGGTCACTAGCAGAGCCCGGCTCGGATGGATAGCAACGCCTCTCACAGGTCCTATTCGCAAGATAAACGCAGTTCGTTGGTAGATGCTGCGCGGGAATACGCACCTTCGTGTTCTTCAAATCTGTCCACCAAGACACCCATACGATAATTCCACAATTGTACACTTCCATTATGCAGCGCAGCGGCTAATAATGGCTGAGTCGGATGAAAAGCAAGCCCTGATAACCACAAGACAATTAGAGCCGAGCACCCGTGCAAAAGATTAAAGCATACCCTTTACGCGGTTGCTTTTCGACTCAAACTTGGTGAGCATAACAGACATGCTCGGCGAATTTTAGGGGCGCTGGGTCGTAGGATATGGTGTCGACGAGACTGAATGATACAGAGAAAGTAAAGTATGCCCTGAACGCGCTTCAAGGACGGACAGACGTGGCTTGTCGACGTGGGAGTTGGATGAAAGGTCACGTTTGCTGGTGGCTGTGCCCAAATTACCCCCCTCACTGGCAACCACCATGACCTCGTCTCCGACGGCTAGCAAGCCCAACATGCACAGTGACACAGTCTCGTCACCGATCTCGTCGAGCCCTCCGAAGCAAATCTCTCCAGTCCCTACCGTGAAAAACACCCAGACTCCGGTCTTCTCGAGCCAGAATTTTCAACATCGGCCACTTTCTGATATCATTGG